AGTCTTCCAGCACATCTTATCATGTTGCAACAGTTATGCAACAGCTGTAATAAACACTGCCCTGGGTCAGGAGACACAGCAGAGTAAAGTTTGTCTCTGCAGAATGTCGGTGAGCACAGCGTGTAGCTGGCAGTAGTGTGTTTGTTCAAAACACTTTCATTGTTTGTATGTGTCACTTTTTCTCTGGTTGCAATAAACATTTGTTTAAAAAAAAAAAGGTTCTTGTCTCATAATTGTCTCCAAATCCTCTTTTTGGAGCAGTTAATAATGTTTATACGTCCTTTACCATCCAATTTCCTGGATGGTAAAGGATGGTTAATAGATGCGACCTCTCTTCACCACTGGTTAGCACTGTCGAGACGGGTTGCTTAGTGGGACAAAATATTGTTAAAGCAATATATCGTTGTCCTGACTCATGAGATATGATTATCAATATGCATGGCAGCAGATATCGATATTTAGTTATATATAGTTTGGACTTTTAGGGATAGGGATATTTTACATTGGAATGGTGGCACATGACAAGCTATAGTGTGTTTGTCAAAGACTTAAGAGGAATTCTTTTTCACAAAATGAACCACTAATGACTTATGATTTATGGGGTATAATTTTACACATAGATTTACACACTGAACTAAAATAAAGTATCAGATTCAGACCCAGATCCTTCCCACATTTGCCCAAACTATGGTTTTCTACCTCCAGCAGCAGGAAGGAGCACAAGTAAAATCCAAATCATTCATGTCTCTTGAGTTTAAAAGTGGAACGCCCATGGTGGATGTTGGCCTACCTGGATGAAAGCACTGCAGAACTAGTACTGAAGTGATTTAGTTTTGTGGGAAAGGTCTAAACTGGGTCTGGACAAAACCATTTTCTTCTATGTTCAGTTTGGAGGCTTCTAGAGGAACAAAACAACCTTCCAGCTACATTGAGGACATTGGATTTAAAAACACTCCGAAGTCCCCCCTTTGAAGAGCTGGTCAAAGCAGGTGTATTCTTTCACTCTCACCATAAAAAAATAAGGAGGAACAAGAAGTAGATTAGAATTCCATAGCACGACAGAAAGACATCCAACCCCTTGTGACCGTCTAGTACTTTACTGGAAAACAGAGAGATGTCCAGTGGGCCGCTGCTGAGGAGACGTGCGTCACGGCAGCAGAAAAACAAAGACTGAGAGGGAAAGCGTCTGAGTAGGAGACTCTGCTGACTTCATTCACACTAGAGCGACTAAACCGAGGCAGCGCTGGGACGGGGGACTCCCTTCCCAAAATACAACCAGATGGCTCGATCATCTCGCTGCGTTTGAAGTGTCCCAGTACAGTGTGTGTGTGTGTGTACGTGTGTGTGTGTGTAACCCTGGGTGCAGACTTCCAGACATGTGAATTATATTTTCTCAGACCAAAGCAGCCTCTTCGACTGTAAGCGTGGGAGCAGACTGCAGGGTGGAGGCCAGACAGACTGACTGGGATTCTCTGGACTCCTGCTGAAAACAATTAACTGCAGCACAGAAGTCTTTAATTTACTGGCATAATCAATAAATTATTACAATTACAGTGCTAATCCCCTACATCTGCTTTCCCGCCGACATCTCTGCTGTGTTATAATTTGCAAGATGTGCGTTTTTATGGGTTCATGACGTCTGTTATCCTCATTTCTTTGTGTATTCTGCTTCCTTCTTTCATCCAAGAAAGTCTCTTGCATGGATGCACAATCGCAAACCAGAAGAATGCATTAGCTTTAAGATATTGCGATAACAATGTTAATGCCTTAAACCAAGTACAGTGGAATATCCCAGTGACATCATTTTTAAAAGTCTCTTTTTAAAAGTGGGCATCCTCTTTTCACAATCTCTTTATTTTAGAGATGTCAGTCGTGTATAGAAATGCTCTAAAACAACAAGGCAGTATGCAGGAAGATTGATTAAAGCTCTTTTCCTGTTTTTTTATTCTTTATTTCATGTTTTTCTCTTATCCAGCATGCATCCTGTAACTTCATATACTTGTAGCATTTTGCATTAAAGTTGTGAAAGCTAACAAAAACACAAAAGAGCAATGATCTCTGCTTCAAATGTGGATTTATATTCGCTCTTCGTTTGTTGGTAATCTTCACGCAAAGGCCAGAGGCTGTAAATCTTCCCTCAGGTTCAGCTCTCTTTCTTCTTCCTTCTTTCCACATGGTTTCAGTTCTGGCACGACTTTATGACAGAGGCACAACAGCTGCTGAGTCGGATACTTAACGTCTGTGGAAATCAGTGTTCCGCGTTCAAAGTGTTCCTCCTTTCATTCAGCAAAGCGGCGGAAGAATCTAATCCTGTTCATGCTGGTTTCGGGCAGGATTCACAAAATCAAAACGCCACGTGTGGAAAAAATAATACAGGGAGTATAATCCGATGGATAAAAAGAGCAACGTCAAACCAATGCACAGCAACAAAGAGGCACGTGATATACATTTCATATTCTTTTATGCTGCGCGTGTGATGCTGTTAATCAAATCTAGAAGATTATTCAAGTCAGTGAGTCTAAATCAGTGCAGGTATTAGATATCTGTTTAGTTTTTATTTCATTTATTTCATTGCGTGCCAAGGTTTCTTTACAGAGGAAACATCATTGTGTTTGTCGTGAAGTGGGGCCTTTGTATTTGCATCAGGAGGGAGGGGTCCTCTTGCATGGAGTCCACCATCATGTTTCTACAGTAGCTCAGAACGGACAAACCAAACACTGGCTCGAGAGATGACCTTTCGCAACTGTGTTATCTGACGGCCACAGTAGGTTCTTACACACGCTGGGAAGGTGAGGGTCAGGTGAGGGTCTGCATCCTCACCACTAGATGTCACTAAATCCTGTGTGTGCCTTAAAATGGAGTTAGATCTGTTTAACAGCTGCAACGTTTGCCAGCATCACAATAACAAAATTAAAAGTACAATATTTTAAAACCTGTTTAAAAATGCCTGGATTGACCCTGATAACAATTCTGCAAACACTCTTAGAACATATATGAATGTGGAACAATGCCTCTTGAGAATGTAGACCATTAGGACATTTTAAACATCATCTGTGAAATCCAGAGTATAGGTGTTTCAATGTCAACAGACGTTTATTTACATTTAGGGAAACACTTGAGTGTGAATGTGTGTGTGTGTGTGTTAAAAAGGTGCTGATATCAATTTCATGTCCGGGTGTAATACAGAGACTGTAAAAAGAGGGAAACAGCCAGACTGGCTCCATGCAAAGCACCTACGATTTATGATTTTCAGGGGAGAGTTACATATGTGCTGAAACACACTCACGCATTTAGTATCTCGCAGTTTGAATTATAACTGTAGACACAGAACATTTGGGTAATCGGTTGTTTGCAAATCCTTCCAGGATGAAAACCACAAATGACTTTTTGCATTTCGATTCGTGTGCGGAATGAATAAACGTGGTGCAACATGTTTGTCAGTGAGCTGTAGGAGTCTTTTTCAACCTTGGTTTGCTGTATCACCATGTTTCCAGTCGTTATGCTAAGCTAACCAATGCACATGAGAGGGATATGACTTTTTCTGTCACGGGAAAGACAGAAAATAAGAATATGGCTAATGTTGTTGGACTTTTCCTTTAAGCCATGGGCGTCTTTACAGAAGGGTCACTGCATTTCCACCTGTAAGTGAACTAATGAGAACTACGGACCGTTTTAAAGTGCACACAAATAAAGTTCATGTATTTATTCATTTATTTCTTTGCAGACTTTTTATAGTAACACGTTTCAGAGAATGTCAGTCTGCTATTTCCTCTGATTTTCAAACAAAAGCTTCCAAAGTTCCTGTGTGTTCAGCTCCTCAAATAAACTATCTACTCTCCTCTTTTTATTTTCCTCCCTCCTCCTTCACTGCCAAGTTGTGATCCCCCTCTTGTTTATGGTGTAAGGCTGAGGATGTATTTCTCATGAGACAGAGGGAGCTGCTGTTTCCTGACACATGCGAGTAAATCAACAGGGTCTGATTTATTTGCCACAAGCTGGAGAGGGACCACAATTACAGGGGCTTGTTTTGTCTTTGTCCTCTGGGCCTGAACAACACATGTTGATGGAGAACACACGGTTTGTGTTTGGCTCACTAATACGACAAGCTTTTAGCTGGCAAGTTTTTCCTTATCTTTGGCACAGCCTAGTGGCAAATAAGAATAACTGACCTTAGTGAGGGGCAGTGTACACATCAACTGTGGAAATGTGAACTCTGTACACTAAACTCTGTAGTTCCCAAAACTCACTCTTCACTTATGTTCAATGTTCATGACAAGAAGCAAACTTAAAGGCATTTACTGCAATACATAGACACATACAAATACATTTACTCTACCAATTCAAGAGACACACATTCCCTGTGATGTAGAGAACTCAGCAGATCAAGTGTCATTTTCACCCAGGCATGTCGTAGAATGAAACTTGCTGTGTCATAAAAGCATCTTACCGTTGTTGTTTTCAAAGATGATCAAATGCATTTACTATGCAGATATTAACTTGTTCCCATGAGGTAACCTTTTGCAAAATTATTCATCTTGTGTGCACAAACTGTATAATACCACCAGTGCTCTATGGATTTTTAGAAAATGTGACCTTATTTGACTATGTTTACCTATAACCTACAGTATATTTTCTAAATTACTGCATAATCCCTTAATCTTTTTTGCAAAGTTTCCCTTTATTTTCTATCTCTGTGCCACTTGTTCTTCCAACTATGGATTTATAATTCAGTTGTTTATCCTTCAAATATGAATGTGTAATCCTGAGACTGTCGTAATATCAACAGAGTTTGATGCTTGAGGAAATGCAGCATCAACAGAAGCTGTAACGTTGTATCTTGTGTGTAGCCCGGTTCTCACTAATGAAGGGAAGAGATGTTTAATCAGGATAAAGTATAAAAATGTGCTTGTATTTGGTTTGTGTCTACAGGAGAGAGTTGGAATCAGACAGTCAGACGCCACCACACAGACACACATGTACATATTAAAGCCAGACTCCTGCAAAAACATGACAACCATAAACACATAGGTAACAGAACAATTTATTCCGTAGATCAACTCTTCAGTACAGTTTATTAAGATAAATATTTATGACACATTATGTGGGATGATTTTTTTCATAGCACCTTAAACACACAAATCAATGGGCTCCGAACATCGGAGCAGATTAAACCTGACCCTCTACACTTCAATAACATTTCAACCCAGACTACTGCCAACAAACCAGCCACTCCATTGTTCAACCTGAAGTTCAACATCCCTGTTTAGGCATAGTCATTTGTCATCTTAGATAACAGGACATACCCTGCATGCCTGCCTGCCCTCCTCTCTGCTTTTTCCAGTCCCTCCTGTAGACTCCAAAGTGCTTTGAAACCGAGCATGTTTTGCTGTAGTTATTTTAGGCCTGAAGTAGGAGCCCCATCTGTATCGGGGTCAAACGTTTTAAAATGTTCTTAAAAGGAATTCTCCACACCAAGAAGGAGAAGAGGTGCGTGCTCCAGGCTGCACCACACTGCATTTTTTGAAATAACAAAAACTAGTCCAGATATCGTGAAATGCTGACGGATTTGCTGTTAGGGATTTATATTCTGATCAAACAAACTTCCACATCTTGGCATGTTTATGGGGTGCAGCCAGACGACCGGCATGTTCAGGCCAGCATCGTGCAGCCCGGGCACGTTCAGGGAGCGAGCCAAGTGAGAGGGGAGTGAACCGAGAGATTTGGATGCAGTTCCGAGGGCATGAAATAATGTTTTTGAGCGCTTTGTGAAGATCTGTCGGAAAAACACACAGGTGGAGAACGACAGCAGAACTGACAGGTGACCTCTTGCTCTGTAAAGCTGCTCGAGGTAACCGACGTGGAAGCAAGAGGTTTGAAAATTAGATAAAAAATCCTAAAGGCTGATGTCAGCAAACTGCACGTGGACTGTGTTTGAAACTGTAAAGCAAGAAAGGGCAAGAGAGTGTCTTTGCATAGTTCACCACATTTACTGCATGATGGTCACTTTATGTTTATGGTTTAAGATGCTGATCATGAGTTCTCATCCCACATTTACACTCATATCAAGCGATAATACCCTGAACCAATCACAACATATCTCTACGGATTTGCAATGGATTTCCTCGCTTCCTGTGTGAAGAGGTGTCCGTACCTGCCAACAACAACAACTTAGTTTGTACAGAGAAAGACTATAGCTTCAGTTAGCTCCTCGCTGCAGCAAGCCCACTCTGTGACCGAGGTCAATGGGACAGAATTATTGTTCACATAATTGGGAAAGTTGGAATAAGACGGAATGTGAATTGTTGTTTGAGATCACCAGCCTAAAAACAGGACGTGGCACCAGAGATTGATTTGCTGTATGTTTGGTCTGAAAGCAAACAGAGACGCACCTGAACGCCAAGAATAATGGGTACCCAGTAACAAACTGAATCTTCTAATGCGCTGCCCAGTATCCTTCACTTAACTTTCAGCGTTCTGCTGTCAAACTATTCAGTGTGTGTTTGGCCTGATTCAGTCTCTAGGGTTAAATAAAAGTTATGAAACTCTAAAACAGGGCATGTCAACATAGAGAAGAGTCGATGAATCAGTCTTAAGCACTCATACTGCACTTCCTGCGCCTCCTTCCACAAATACCAAGACACGACTAAGCTCTCTTTACAGTATAAGCAGATTTAATGGCGCATCAGACACAAAGCTATAAATAGGCAGCCAAGATACCGCCTGCTTGAAACTACAGTGTCTGTATCAAACACTGGCTGTTGCCATGCTTGGGCTTCACGTACAGGAATGTAAGATGACGCGAAGCAGCATCTGGAGAACTTCGGTCAAAGTGCTGCTGTGACAACACTGAGCGGTTTTCCTCTACATATTCCTACGCTTTTCATTTGTTTTAAACCTTTAGTAATTCTGGGAATGCTGACACCCACGTCTGATTTCATATTTCAACTGCTTGTCTGTATTTACAGTACACTCATGAGTGCAGTGAGTTGCTTGCAATTTTCCCGGAATAATCCAGGGTCAATGTGCCCTTCCACTGACATCATCCTGAATCATGCATGTCTAATCCACTGAGATCTACAGCATTGCTCGTCGCCCCCTCAGCACCAGTATGGGGGGTTTCATGTGCAGCTTATGGAAGGACCACCCCTGAAAATAAGGACATGACAATGGGCAGAGGTTTCTAATAATATATAATAATAACAAATGTGGGATTATTGATTTTAATCCAATACACTTTTTATCAAATTCTGCTAATGTCTCCTCATGGTCTGCCGGCTAGATAATGTGATCGTTCCTCTGCCTTCTACTATCGAAGGATGAGAGTACGACCTGAAAAGGTGTCCTTAGCTAACTCCTGTACTGTTTCAGAATATACTGTGAGCCACTGGAGATGCTACCACTGATGTCTCACAGGACGTTCTGCTCACAATCATTTTCACAGTCGCTGAAAGGTGCCGCACACTTTTGGTCAGTATGGTGTTGTTCAAATTGTTCATGTTTGCCAATTCCGACTTTTTGAGATCAGTGGTGAACTTTGGCAGTGCACGTGCGTGAGTGTGGTGGGCGGAGCTTCTGAAAGCGCGATTAAGTTCGTCTGTCCTGGTTCCTCTCCCTGAGCTCGGTCACTTGTTCTCTAGTTAAATAAATACCCATCTACAGTCATATCGGATATTAGATGCTCGTTTTTGTCTTGTTCTATTCTTTCTGTTTACATTTATTCGAATGTCAAACATTCATTAATGCTATTTAAGACTTTTACAGCTTGTATTGACATGATATTACATGTTGGCAGCTCTATTAAACAATAAAAGTAGGTGTCACACAGCATGCTCATGTGTATTTACCCAGGCCTGTGAGTGGGATGGTTTGTCGTAAAGGAAACAAAGGAGCAGTGGTTAAAGAGAAATAAAGGAGGAGTCATTTCCTGTTGTAAGGTCACTATAAATGTCCATATCTAACTTGTTTGTCTTCACACACACTATAAAACAGTGACTTCCAATAAACAGATCAGGTAGTGGTATGACTGTGATTATAGTGTTTATATAGTTTATTGTGACCTGACTAAGCCAGTGTTGAGCCACAAGTGTTTTTTGCATGAAAAACCACTTTGCATTTTGTTCAGTCTGTGATCTTTAGAACACTACCAATCATAGCTCGCTCTGTTTTATGACTTTTGGCATTTGCAGGTGACCGAAAGTGAGAGAAGAGGCTGACTTCACCACCACAAGACGTCTTGTACTTCTCCCTGTTTACAAATGTGCAGAGGGGTACCTTGTGCTGCTGTGTGTCAGTGCTAGTATTTTTGTCAGGATGTTCTTGGATGTCCGACATGCCACATCAGTTATCCTCGACTGTGGCACAGACCAAGGAATAAAAAATACAAACACCTCCTAGCTTTATAATACACATGACCCAACCATCACTGCAGTTGCTCCCACACTTTTTAAGACCTTAAATATATCTATATATTAAAAAATGATATGATCTTTTTGTGATGGCACCCTCTTACTGTCAGCCGAGGTAGCCTCCACTGGATTTCAGCCTTGAGGTCAGCTCATATTTGGATGTCAGTTGTTTTTGTGCATTTTCTTTTTAGCTTTATTACATCTTTCCATCACCGGCTGCTTGCTGCCACTAATTGTTGTGAACCTGCATAGCTTGCTGCAGAACTATGATCAGCAGTTGTGAGCTATCTTGTCATTAGCAAGGTAACGCCTGTATCTTTTTACTAAATTGAAAACTACATACTCTAAATATAGCTTATAGTTTCTGTGTGATAGTAAATTATTTAGCATAATTAAGCTCAATTAATTAGTTTGCATGTAAACACAATCCATGCAGTTCATTCGGGCAAACACAACACACACAGTATATGAAATTTCCAACACAGGAGGTGAAAGATCCTCTATCTCGACTCCAGTCTGTAAAATGTTGCTTTCAAGTCTTAAAAATGAAAGTTTTGAGAAGAATCTTGTCATCGACACTAACCTATGTTATTTGTGACAATGCAGCAGCTCTGTGAAATTCCAGCCTTTCTTTCGAGCTTCGATCCACCTCTTCCTCCCGGTGGCTCTCACTGATAGCAGAGGTAGCTGATCAAGAGTTTCGGTATTTCCAGCTGACCTACGACCTTCAGAGCTTTGGTGCCTAGCGTCTTCCTCACCGCCAACCTGCTGAGCTGCTGCAGACTCATGGGAGTGGCTGCAGACAGAAAACAAAGCATAAGATGTGGATTTAGGCTATACATCCACATTATTACATTTTTCTTTGAAGATGCATCAACTCCTACGGCTGTGACTGGTATCCACACTACTCTGGAGTCTCTGTTATAAGCAGGTTCACCCAGTTCTGGTTTGAAAACTCCATGGTCAGCATTTTAGTCTGGACGTGCAGAAGCAGAGATGTTTGGAAACAATGACGTAGACATGATCGCTTGCTAACTGGGCCTTTGCTGATTTGTCAGGCTCCTATCACATGACCCCCTTTCGGAAGAAAACAACCGGCGTCAGCCTCAGCTGCCAGTGTAGAACATTGAACACTGGGAAATCAATTAAAAGTGTTATTGACCCTGTTGTTTTTGCAGCTGTTGTGCAGATAAATGTTGTATTTTACTATGATACAACTGTTTACATGTGTAGGAGATGCTGTCATGCATAATATGCGATTTCAGGTGTGTTAGTACGGACGGGGATTAAAACTGATACGGAGCCAAAACACTTGTGTGGACAGAGATCGTGAACACGATTTTCAAACTAAGATTTAAGTATGGATGCAGCTGAAGAGAAGACCCAGGGAAATCACTTCTATTATTACGTTAATAATTATATTGGGGCAAAACATTATTCGTCACAAGGATGATATGTATAATAACAATGTAAACGTATCGATGCTGTAAAAATATGTAATAAAATGATTCTTTTAAAAATAATTGTGGGATTTTTGAAGCGTTTTCAACTTTTCCACCCGTGTTTGCTTCTATTTAAAGTCTGTGCTCCACTTCAGTTCTGTTACTGGAAGTAGTGTGATTCATCACCTTCTCATATGCGTCCGTCACAGTGGCTTACGCATATGTAACTCATGGTATGTATGAGCATCATGGTAAACAACAGGTGTCTGAGCTGACGTTTTCCTGGAAGTGAAAAATTATACTTGCATGCCACCTGCTGGGGACAGTCTGACACTGCACTGTTGTACTGGTTTAAAGACAGTTACACAACCTGACAGATCCGAACAAGGTAATGTGTGTTTTGCATGCATCACTGTGAATGACCTACTCTCATAAAACTGTAAGTAGGTTGCAGAGGGAGAGTCTGGTGTGGTGTAGTCCACTGGTTTCCTGTCGTGCTGGTCTCTGGCGTAGATGTTGGCCCCGAACTCCACCAGAATCTGTATCATCTCCACCCGCATGTTTTTAGCAGCGTGGTGCAGCGGAGTTTCGTGTAGCCTGGTAGCATTCACCTTAGCACCTAAACAGAAAAGAGCATTAATATCAAGTGAAGGATGATGAGGCTGGTGTCTGTTTAACATGTTTCAGATTGTGTCTCAATCTCATGTCACGATTACAACCATCAATATCTGAGTCTCGCCCATTGGATGACTGTAGATGTGTTGGTTCATGAGAAGTTTATTTAAAATTAAATCAAATCCATCTACATTTAACATTTATATGACAAAACAATCAAGTTTGCATAAAGTAAACGGGTCTGAATCATTTATGTTTTTTCTTTTGGAGTCAGAGAAAATACAAAAATTTAATTGTTAACAACCACGATGGAAAATTGCTAAATCTAGCAGAATATTTATTTAATATTAATGTATGCTTCACTTTAACGATAATATAAATGTGCTTTGTCTTTGCTTACTCATTAATTCACATGAAAAAAATGTCAAATAACCAACTAAACTGTTAAATGCAGACATTGCCTTATGAGCACAAACATAAGCCGAAGCCAGTTATTTAAAAATGTCAGATACCTGCAGGATGAAACGCTCCATCACTACAAAGTACCCAGTGCAGCCACATGGAAACATGGTGCCTGGTCCCACAGTGTCAGATGAGGTAGCGAGGGATATTATTACAGGTCAGGAAACTTGTCCTTAAGTTACACCACAAGTGCAGTCAAAACAGCCAATCACATCTACCGTCATACTGGATTTAAAAGCGTGACCTCAAAGGTCTGAGTGCAGTAAACATATAAGCAAGAGACAAATTTAACTTCACGCAGTGGCAGCAAACACAGCACACCTAATCTCAAGGCACTTCAAATATTAAGGTTGAGACCTTAAAGTACTTTAGAGAATTTAACAGTTCCCACAACTAGTAAGCACTTGAAGAACCAGTGTGGACGGCCGTCGACCGGTGGGGGTGAGTGAAGAGAATTGGGGGAGAGACTCACCTGCATTAAGCAGCACTTTAACACAGTCTGTGTGTTTGTTAACACAAGCCACATGCAGCGGGGTCCCGTGGTAAAGGTCGTACGGCTCCAGAGAAGCACCCCCAGCAATCAGGAGCCTCACGCAGTCCGAGTTACCTGAGATACAAACAACAGTGTCGGTCACGGTTGTCTCATCAAAATGAACTTGATTCCACAGAAACTAAAAGGCGCGTGAAGTGAGCTGAGGCACACTCACCTCCCATGCAAGCCTCGTGGAGAGGGGAGGCCGTGCGAGAGGTGAGAGCGGGGTTGGCTTTGGCACCACGCTCCAGCAAGAGCCTGACGCACTCCAAACTTCCAGCTGAGCAGGCATCACACAGCGGAGTGCTGCCGTCTACATTCCTCGCATCCACCTGACATGCATCACAGGGGCATTAGAATACTGTGAGATTTTATTCTAGAGATAAAGTAGACACACAGAAAGTTCTGTTCCCAACAAAAACCCCTCATGATCTGGCAGATCTGGAATCTGTCCGTCCGGCTTTTACCTGCGCTCCAGCGTCCAGCAGCAGCTGGACACACTTGGTCTGTCCACAGAGACAGGCCTCGTGCAGCGGCGTGATGGAGTCCACTGCCACAATGTTGACCGAGGCTCCGCTCTGAATGAGGTGCATCAGCTGGGAGACGTGGCCCTGAGAGGCCGCCTTGTGCACCTCTGTCCTCTCTGACCAGCATCCTGCGGCACCACACAGATAATATATTCATACATGAGGACCATACCAGGACAACACAAATACATATAGTAATACATAAGAACAATACAAGGACAACACAAATACATATGATCATATATAACAACTATGGTAGGACAACACAAATACATATAGTAATACATAAGAACTATACAAGGACAACACAAATACATATGATCATATATAAGAACAATACAAGGACAACACAAATACATATGATCATATATAAGAACAATACAAGGACAACACAAATACATATATTCTAAACTAGTGTCTTTCCTAAGAATTAAACCTCTGTGTTAAAAGGTCTATTTCTCACACACACTTCTTTCACATCCAAACAGAAACCTGACACTTAAATGCAGTGTCCATTACTTTCTCTCATCACAGAGTCTAATCACTGTCCACACTCTATGGTCTGATGGTTTGAGGTGAATATCTAGAGAAGCACACGACTGTAATGTTTAACATGGAAACATGATGAGGTGATGAGGAGAAATGCAACTGAGTGTAAAGGAACCACGACCAGCGCTGTTTACTGGAAACACCATCTTTGTTTTCTGCACGTTATCAACATGAAGCGTCACTGGTGACGAGCACACAGACTGCAGAGGACGCGCTCTCTGGTCAAACTGGCTCATAAAGTCCCGGCGGCCATGTTTGTTTGTATGGCACATACTCACCGATGTCTCCGAAGAAATAGGGCTGAGTGTTCTCAGCCTCCATCCTGCAGCTTCTCCCTCAGACGCAGGAGCAACGAGACAAGAGATGTTTTGTAAACAGCCGGGCGGTGCTTACATGCGCCGGGGTGTCAGTCACGTGACACGCCGGGCAACCGAGGTGCATCCCGGGACTTGTAGTTTTTTTTTTTTTTTACTACCAAACAGAAGACTGCACTCTCTGAGGAGAATGCAACCAGTTTTTATTCTTCACCTGGATACATGATGCTGTTACAGGGATTCATATCATAATGATGTATAACTTCAATTAGGAGCATTTATTCAGTCCATGTTGTGTGAATCCAAATGGAACGGGGCCCCCCTCCTGCAGGGGTAGGGATCCCGTCATGTGTGGCTCTGCAGTGACGAGGGGTGGTCGTAGAACTGGAGGAAGCGGTGGATGCGATGGGATACGTTCAGCCGACCTATGACCTCTGAGGCCCTGGTGCCCAGCGTCCTCCTCACGGTGATCCTACACAGCTGCTGCAGACTCAGAGGATGACCTGAGGAGAAGCACACCGTCCAATAATGTCAATTACATCTGGTCTTTTTTTTTTTTTTTTCTGACTGCGATTCAGGGTTAAGGGGTTTACTTTCGTAGAACGTGAGGCAGGTGTGAGAGGGAGACGCTGGCGAGGTGTAGTCCACGGGTTTTCTCCCCAGGTTGTCGCTGGCGTGCACGCTGGCCCCGAACTCCACCAGCAGCTCGATCATGTCCGCCACGTGGACCCGTGCCGCGTGGTGCAAAGCTGTCTCATGGAACTTCACTGAATTCACATTGGCACCTGCAGGAGGCGAAGACGAGAGCTTTGGCCTTTTGTTTATTTGTATTCATCAAATAATGACAGCTGTAATACAGATCCTTATCCACCAAATCATACTGTTTCAAAAAGGAGCATTCCCCAGAGCCATGACTCTGAACCCTCATGATGAACATGCTCTTTAAATAAGTACCATAAAGGAATTCCATTTTGTTGTGTTCATAAATGATTCTATAATGACAGACCACCAATGACAGCCTTGTGTTTACCTGACTGTTGTGTTCAGGGGTTCCTTATCTCAAGAAAAGTCTACATTAATGGCCTCTAAGTATTGTGCGTGCTTTATTGTATGATTATTATTGTGATTATTACTTTTATTATCTTGTTTTACCTGCTGAGGGTTCGACAGATGGAAATTAGCTGCTAGCTAACTCTGGTATAGTTGCTTTTGAGTGTACATTGTTCCTGTGAAAATTAAAAAATAGGTATAAAATAAATAAAATAGTCAAACTGAATTATTAAGGAGACAGCTCCAACATGCACAGTCACCTGTTGCACCAGCTGAGTGTATATTTGAATATAAACTGCTGCGATATAACTACTTGGTTTTTTTGGCCAATGTAGAGAATAATAGATGAGGTAGATTACAATTCATGTTCTGACCTGCAACCAGCAGCTCCCGAACACAGCCCACGTGTCCTTTAGCACATGCGATGTGGAGGGGCGGACCAAAGTAGACATCGTACGCCTCCAGCTGGGCTCCGCTCGCTATCATCAGCCTCACCACGGCGTCATTACCTGAGGGGAACGTGAAGTTTCATTCACAGTGAAGAAGATATGACGTGTGTGATTGTGGTTAGTTAGCGAAACACAGTGAACTGCTTCATTTTTGATTTTATGTTTTACATCAGATTAAACAGTTCGGTCTGATTTCATTTTCTTTGAGTTACTGCGTCTGCTGCATTAGTCCTCCTTCCTGGTTTGGTTAAAAGATGTAACTGAGGGTGGAAAATAAAAGTGGCCATCAGTATGGGGAGGACAGGATTTATTTGTCTGAAGTTTAAGTTGTTTCCCCTATAATTTCTAAATGGTCTGATCAGCCAGTTTATATGTCTCCACTTGTTTGAATGTCCTGTTTTACCAGCAGAAGTATTACGCAAAGTTCCGTTTATTTGCTTATTTTTCATTCCTTTCTATTTTGATATTCTTTGGGTGAAATAAATCCCAAATTCTGAAAAAGTAATCCTGTGCTCCTTTGTCCCTGTGACTGCTTGGTCCCCCTGAAGTCTCACCCTGTATGCAGGCCTCGTGGAGGGGTGAAGCGGTCAGAGCTGTGAGGGACGGGTTCACTTTGGCTCCGTGCTCCAGCAGCAGCTCGACGCACTCCAGGCTGCCGGAAGCACAGGCGTTACAGAGAGGGGTGCTGCCGTGGATGGTCCGTACATCAACCTGGAAGAACCAGAGGAAAAAGATCCCACTACTTTAACTTTAGAATATTAGTAAAAGTGTGTAGAAATACTACTGGTAGTAAAAGAAATATTGTCCATCTTATGTTACACTGTGTTATAGAGGTATTGACCCAAATCCATTGAAATATCTGATCTGCAGTCTGCTTCGCAAAGTATTTATTCTGTATTTGTTTGCATGACCATGTGCAGTGTCCAACATTACGTCCTCATATTAACACCAGTCAGGTTTGGCCCCTCACATGCGGGAGCACAGATGCTCGTCCCACCTGAGCTCCAGCCTCCAGCAGCAGCTGGGCGCACCTCAGGTGACCCTTCGTGCAGGCCTCGTGCAGGGGGGTGATGTTGTCCACCGTCACGATGTTGACCGAGGCTCCGCTCTCTATCAGCTGTTGGAGCTGCAGAACCCTGCCGTGAAATGCTGCCTCGTGCAGGGCAGTCCGGTCAGCCCAGAAACCTGTTTACAGACAGAGACACACGTGCCGCATTTCTGAACACGTTCTTTGCTCAGCTGGCATTTTATGTAAATAATTGCTAAAAGCTTCTCTCCTCTAGGTTTCATTTTCCGGCCTTCTTTACTAACCATATCCTTTACATCTCTGTGTAAAATCAACAATACAATTTTCCCCTTATAACTAAATATTTTGTCCAAGTTCAACATAGTTTTTGTTGGTTGTAAAACAAGACAACCTACTTTTTAGGGAATAGAAACTAGTACCACTGCCACTGCCACCACTAATGACAGCAAATCATTCCAACAATCATATACTACAAATAAATAATGATGCCATATGTCCACACTCTAAGTCTTCTCACCTCACCTGTGTGTGTGTGTGTTTGTGTGTCTCAGGTTCTTCTAACACTCGTATGTCTCGTATATGTATGTCACGATCACTGCTTAAGTACATCAGGATAATTAAAGACCAAACATTGAAGTTAAACTGAATTAAGCTGCCTTTGACATATATAAGGACCATAAAGTCAAACTGTGGTCACACTATAATTTCTATTTGTCTCAATGCTGATCCAGTAATCGCACTATTGTTTTCCTCTTCTCTGTTAAAGTCCTAATTTTTGGACTTTGGTTGCAAACAACTCCTTAAACTTCACAACTTCCAGCTCTTTCAGGACATCTATGCTCTCATTTTCTCTTTTTTCAACTCCTCACACTTGTTTTCAGCTTTTTTCTTTTCATTATTATTTTAGCTGAGTGCTTTCCTTCAATTTTTTATTTTAATGTCTGACTTGACCAGCAAGAAGCAAGTGATGGATTATTGGATGTAGATCAATGGGGGGTGGCTATTTCAGCCATTTTCAATTGAATCTAAAACATGTTAAATTGAGCAAACAGTGAAGAGGTCTGAATACATTATGAAGCAAATGTGCTATTGCTCGTCAGGGCCAGTAGAGGGCTTCAGCACTGTGTGTACAGCAGACTGGTTCATGTTGTTTACAAAGTGCATGCAGGAGGCTGCACCCCCATGCAGTAATCTGGAAATACTGTTCCCTGTAGAAAAACCATCAGAACTGAAGATGAAGTATCTGCATCGGATCATTGTTCTCCTGAGATATGGTGGAATCAATGCGAGCGTGCTGTCTGGCTGACATTACTGAGGTATGACTCACCAATGTCGCACAGAAACGAGCGGCGTGCAGCCGTCACCTCCATGTTCACTGTTCAACACAAGACACGTCGGCAGGGGGCGCTACTCAGGGAGGCTGTTACAAGTACACAGAGGAAGTAGAGAATTGTTGGAGTTGGAGTTTTAGTGGTGTCAAATGCTGCTACTCCAATTATCTCATGGTATTTAAGATCCAGGGACACAAGAGGCAGTACATGATATATGTTTTTTTACATATATATATATCATTATATATATATTAGAATGTAAATGAGTTATTTCTGTGTATCTCAGGATTATATGAGTCTGAGCAGTTAAGATACCAAGAGCTGCACATCTTCACCTGTTCTGTTGGAGCACTGCGATACCTCTGTGATATTAAATTCTAAATTATTAGTTAAGAATAAACACACTTGTATTGCACACTCACGCAGAACGAACAGTCAAAGAAAGAACAAGTCAAACAGTTTTTGACAAAGTTTTTTTTTTTTACTTTGCAGTACAGAAATCATTTGAGCCCAAGATGTTTTATTTAAAACCAGATGACAAGATGTCACAGGCCTCTCATCAATTGAATACTGCTGCAGTACACATTTGGTCCTTCTTAAGCAAATTACAGTTAACCACAATTCCCAGCAATCGGCTGTCAATGCTCCGGGATTCCATCTTTTTGCATAATACAAGAACTAATACATCTCCACTTATGCGTTATATTAACTGACTGTTGAAAGCAGGTTCAGGTAGTTTATGCTGGACGACATCACCTCGTGGCTTGGTTTACGGTTTTACTTTGCTAGAGATACGACTACATGTGACAATCTATTTACGTTGGCTGCTGTTGATGGGCACGTCACCACACCACGAGATTTTATTCAGACGCACAAAACCAAGCCACTTTTCTCACACCCTAAGCAAAAATGCCTGCAGAGAAAAAAATAACTTATGAGCAGATTTTGTAAATCTTCCAAACACCTTTTTTATAAAATGACAGAAAAATCAGATTGCCCTCCACACCCACTGTGTGATTATGAATGATTTCTTTATTTGGCATCTTTGGACTATCCATTAACGTGATGAAGCAGTAGAAACATAGCGTTGAGTTAAAACCTCCATCTTAATGTGATTTGACAAAGCATATCTCCTGAACCCTATCCAACAATACTATATCATATCTCTCTATATATCATGAATTTCCTCAATGGGCAAACCGTGTACTTTGATAATCAGCCAGCCCATTGATGTGTACATTTATGAGTACGTTTTCTATGCTTTGTAAGATTTGCGTTGTCGGCAGCGTTGTCTTTGATGATCAGAAGTGTTGCGGACGCCTCGCCTCTACTCTGCCGCATCGCCGAAGATGTCCTGCTTCTTGCGCTCCATCTCGGCAAAGTCAAATTCTGAGCCAGTCATCCTCCGGTAGATGTCCTTGATGTCATCACAGGTGGTCTCAAAGTGAGTCGTGGCATCATATGAACGGGAGATGAAAATCTAGGAGGAGAAGAAAAAAGATCAAATGTAAATATGCACAGGACGGATTCAAGTCGATTAGGAAGTTCACATTTAGTGAGAGAAGGTGTGTTACTGGTATAGCTAAAATTAAATGTCTTTATCCTGTGTTTAGGATATCAGATATTGTCTAAATTAATCGTGCTGACAGCTCTCAGTATCCACTTGAATGCTGAGCTAATGTTAGCTCAAATTACAGTTCCACAGAATCAAAGGACAAGTTGCTGCTTAGCCTTGAACGCTCTAAAGGTTAAAAGAGCAGATCACTTGGATGTAGAACAGTTACCTGGAGTTGTAATATTTCTCTCATGAAACCAAATATCTACGGCATTACCTGATAAACTATATACTTATGTAACTTCTATGTCCTGGTTTGTTTTAAATGGGATAAAACATGCAACAGCTGCAGTGCTTCATGGCTCATATTAACCCTCTTAACATACCTGGCTGTCATTGCCCAAGTCAGTTGGGTCATACAGGTCACTAATGCTGACAAACTTCTGCTCGATGGGCTCCAGTAGGTCCAGGGCCGGCTTGATCTCTTTCTCGGGATCAGCCGACTCCACTGTAGTGCTGATGATGGCGATATATTTACCACTTGCTGCCACGTTGTGAGCAAAGGAGACCATACAAACGTAGATGTCTGGAAAGAGGAAAAACTACAGTAAGTGTCTGGTGGTTTGCGGAGAAGTTAAAGACTTATTCAGTGGTATCTGTCAAATCAGTTGTTGTGAGAACTTAGGGATGGTACATTTAAATCACCACAGCCTTCTCTACAAACATCTATTCATTGTCATAGCTCTGGGGATAAACTGATAATATGAGCATAACCTGAAAACACCAGAGATCCACACAGGATTTCACACTTTAAATGAACAGAACAACAATAAAAGCAGTTAATGCTCATAAGCAGCTGCCACATATGTGTATTTCCATGGCTATTGCAGATAAGGAGTAAGACTGGATATAATTTTGTTCACCAGTGGGGCTTGGTACCAGAAGGCTCTGTGAAATATTTTGTCAGTAGGAGACACGTTTGAGGAGGAAGAGGGGGGGATCTCGGCAAGTTTGCCAGATGTATTGTTTTCTTTTTAAGTTTTCACGAAGTGCGGGGAAATGGAAATGATTTACAAAGCCAAATGTTTATTTTATTTCATGTCTATCTGCTCCAGAGGCTGAGAAATGCAGGTTTTGTGAATGTTGGTATTTCTGTCAGTTCTTCAGAAAACCCTCAGGTTTTTAGGTCATCGTTCTCAACAACACTATTTTAGCGTGCTTTTTTTTCCGCCGCCTTGGGTCTTAATTGGTTCATAGAGAGACACTCAACACTAGATGTATGATGCTCATTCAAAATGTCCCTGTAAGCATGAAAATATAACATTTGTAAACTGTGCCCTCCGATCAGTGCGGTCACACTAACACAGCTGAGTGCTACCTTAATAAAATCCTGGCATATGTCCACTGAAACTGTCAAAATGCTTCACTGCTCTCATAATGAAGTTCCACCATTTTCATCATATCGACTTAACATGTGAAAAGCAATGAGGCTTTCTGGAGAACTACAAAACTTCCTTCTGTCACAAAACACCCGCCACGTTTAAAGTCGATCGGACGAGCAGCTGTTGAGAAAACTGAAGTACAGACAGACTGTCGTTCAATAAAGTGGGTTAACTTCCTGTTTGTGCTCACCGTGCTTCCTGTTGACCTGATTCTGGGGGATAATGATCTGGCAGGAGTTGATGTCGCCGGTGTTGCTGATGGTGTGATTCAAAATGCAGATGGCTCTGATCACCTGACCCACTTTTTTGGTACGATCCATGATGTAACTGGGGTCACAGATCAGCTGTTTGCACCTGGCGATCTGTGGAGGACAAACACATTCAAAGCTCAGAGGACAAGGAACGGGTTCAAATGCTGGAGAAGTAGCGGTACGACTGAGCAGACATGTTTTACCTTTACAGTACTGCATGATTATGATATAGCATTAGCAGTATATCAGTGGTATAAAATGGTTTTAAAATGATCCAAATATGTCAATTATCGCAAGACAATATATTGTCCAGCGAAATTTGTTACCACGAGAGGCCTACCTAGATATTTTTAATAATGCACTGAGTTAGAGGTTTGCACAGTTTATATCCCTAGTTAAGAAATAACCAATGTATATGGGAACTGTCAAGAAAAGGTATGATAGGTGTATTATTGTGGTCCCAAAAGGCGCAGTGAAAAAAATCTGGGTGCACCAGTGCAACCAATGTAACACGTTAGTCTGGAGCCCTGCCAAAGAAGAGCAGTGTTGAATTTGAGTATTCATGCACGCAATGTTCAACCAGTATGAATTAACTTGAAATAAACAGGGGACTCATCACCATAAGTGACGCTGTTGATTTAAACTGTGCGTTCACGACAAATCTGATTCACTAGTTCTGGGTTCTGTGTAGTGAGTTGGGCTCACTGAACTTTGAATAATTGAACAACTCTTTGTGCAGCTCTTCGATTGATTTTATTTATAAGGGAGTCATGATGGTGTGATCTTCATCTGGAAAAAATTAAATAGAAACACAACTGACAAACAGAAAATGCTGCTCTTGTATTCTCATCTTTTTCAATTTTGTAGCAACAGCAAAACACTCCCATGGCAGTAAATAAAAACTCCAGTTTTTGTATATAGATAAACCACATGCCTCTATAGAGTTGACATGCCACTCAAATGAAAGGCGTTTAACACACATATCTTCTAAATGCTCACCTCCCCCTCAGACTTGACTCCCACCACCTTTCCGTTTTCCACCACAATCTCTTCAATGGGCTTGTTCAACATGTATGTCCCTCCATAGATGGCACTCAGCCTGGAACAGAAACACAATGTGCTGATGTTACTTGTAGTTATCAAAAGATACGTCCTGAATGAATAGTTTTGAGCTATATGAACCGTCATCTGCTAATACTAATATCACAAGACTAAACATCATCATTACTGGACCTTGCTGGTTGCAAAGAGCTAAATTTTTTCACTTGTGATGCAGCTGGGACCTGAATTTGAGAATGCCTTGTAAGAACAATATTTCAAATTATAATAATTAACAACAATGCAGCCTGTGGTGCACTAACTTAACACATAAACACATTTTACACACAGTTATACAGATGACCCTTACCTGGCAAAGCCTTGTGGCAGTTCTCCGAGACCATACAGTGGGTAGAGGTATGGGCTCTTGCCATATCTGGCCAGGGACTCGCTGTAAAGCTTTATCCTGTTTATCGTGTTGATGCACGGTTGTTCCAGGTAACTGAGAGCAGAGGGATGTAGACCATTTTAAACTCTAGAGATTGTATAATTAATAAGGCTGGGAGACATGGCATAAAAACCACATGCATTACTGTATTATAAACACTTATCGATCAAACAAAGACCACTGACTCATCTGTGCGGTAGAGGGCGAGGGAGTGGCCGGTGAAGTCAATCACTTCCTGGCCAAGGTCGAACTTTTGGAAAATGGCCATCATTGTTGTCTTGTTGGGGTCAATGCCCTCCATGGTTTTGGGGTCCTTCTCGTCAAAATTGTTGACGAACATCAGGAATTTTCTGAAGCGCCGTTTCACAAACAACCCCATTAGACCTTTCCAAGACAGAGGGAGAAGACTTAGAGAAGCATAAAGCCACATCAAAAGCATCAGTGAGCGAAAAGCAAACTTTACCGAATCAGTGATACCTGAAACCATTTCCCCAATCATTTTAAACAGTACACATCTTTTCTTATAATGTTTCACTGTGTTCTCCAGTTACTTACTTGATGACAGGGCCTCACCCTCAGTAGAGGGGACTTTATGGATTTTTCCCCCCTTGTACACATAGCTGCCCTCAATCACTTTGAATTCCAGGTAGCGAGTCACCTGTGTGATCAGCAGCATGCGGACCAACTGACCTGAGAGCAGGAGCCATAAACATCATCATGAAATATTTACCAAATATCAATATCTTCATACATTTTGACCCTTCGTTGACATTTTCTATCTGCAGTAAAATTATAATTATGGTATCTGCTAATTCCTAAAGTATATTTTGAATATTAAACACCGTTTTTACACTCTTCCCAGACGGAAAGATGTTAAACAGTACAGTACTAAGCTGTAACTCACAGCCTTCATCTAAAGATCAGAGGTCTGGGTCACACGCAAAAGCCATATGTGATAAAAAGATTAGTGATCCAAGTGTACCATTGGCCATTAGGAATTTAGGGATGAGGTCTACATTCCAGTCCCGAGATTTCCCCATTGATTCAGGTGGGTTGCCAGGAAGCTTGAAGCGCTTGTAGAGCTGTGGGGAGACACAGAACCAGACTTGATTTACAAGCTAGGACAACAATATCCACAAATGCCCATAAAGCAAGGTAACCATTAAAGCTGACTTCAGTCAATCAGCCCTATTTCCAAGGAATACTATTTCATAAAAGCATTTATCTAAACTGTACTTAAAGTTGAATCTATTATCTTTCAGAGCAAAGTTGTTTTTGGTGTAATCCATTATGTTAAAAAAGCCACAGGTTCTCCTAAAATCCAAAGCTTACATATAGATGTTTACAAAGTCAAACCAAAGATCATTATTCTGTCTGCTCACATCTTCAAGTGGTGTGATGGATGCGCTCTCAGCTCCATAGTAGGAGTTGCGGTCCATGTGCAGGACCTTCTTCCCCTTCACAGACATGATGCCTGATAAAATGCATTCCTGTTGAGAGAAAGCAAAAAGAGAAATGAGTCAGTGATGACGTTTACCTACCCTGCTCTCTAGTGTGCATCTTCACTACAATCACAATTTAATTATGATCCAGCTGTCAACGATTTGAATGCAAAACGATTCAATTTCTAAATGATTGCACGCACATTACTCATTAGTTAATACAATCAGCCAGACAAATATGGACTCCCTTTATATTTATTTGTGCTTTAAAAATTATTGTAGACTGTTACTGGAACAGAACAAAATCAGAAGGAAGTCTATTGTGTACACTGTAGACAGTCCTAAATCCTAATAGTTGTTTTGTTAAGCAACCCAGCTGGGTGATAAATCTCTGACATTATAAAGAGCTTGTGGATAATCACTGGATCAGTAGTTACGTTCTTATTTACTGTTATCTACTCCATAAAGACAATTCTGCTTGACATTTAGCAGTTATTAGACATTATTAGCCCCTTAAGTTGTTACAGGGGCCTTTATACAGTGTCTTATTGAAAGTATTGTGGTTTGTATGTATGTGGTCACTGGTCAGGTAATTTTGCTTTGCGTAACAGTGGTTCTGTGTTAGCTGTATTTAATTTGACAGTAAAATATTACAGAAGCCAACAAAGCTTTCTCTTTTTTATCGCTGGCTTTAATAACTAAGTGAGGATAAGTGTAAAGCCACTGCAGACAATGCTACAAATCAATGAACTGGACCTTATACCTATATAAAGATACTATGACCTGATATGAGCTGATTTACAGTCTCTCTGGCCTCTAATGAAACATAATAAATACAGACCAACTAGATAAGGGAAGAAGTTTTATGTTCAAAAGCCATCCGGAGCACTGCCAAAGGGGAAGTTGTATTTAAGCAAGGTTTTCGAGCTAAAACCAACTGTGAATAGAATCATCATCGCCATGGCTAGCCTCCCCACACAACACTGCAAAGCTCAACACTACTAGTGACCAGAGACCTCAAACAAAACACCATTTGTGAGTCAGTGTAACCAGACATAGCCAGAACTAGGAATTCAGTTCTGACACACCCAATGCCCACATAATGACTGACATGCTTCTGTGGAGCTGTGAGGGTGATCACAGTTATTATACAGTCGCCACTTTCAGGGGCTTGGTAATGATGAACAATGTGCATGTTGCCATAGTCTGGAATTCCCAAAGGCCACAGGCTTTAATACGATTACAGCCGTGGGGCTGCAGATGCATGAAAACACTGTGTGCATCATGAGACTTTCACTACTGACTGACAGCTAAATAAACTCTGGTGGTACGTGGAATGACTTATTTGTCACAAACACAGTGCATCATAAGTTTCCCTGAGTGATGTCCCCTTGACTTTGTAGTAGTTAATAAAAGGCCCAAAAACATTCGATCTCCATTTCATCATGGTGAATTCCGTGTCAGAATCCTTAACAGCTTACTGTTGACAGCAAGCAACCAATACTCATCAAGTACGGTTTAGCACTTCATCAATACAGAGGGGAAAAAAGGAAATGGTCCTGACTGCAACAGTTGTCAGAGAAATCTTCGGTCATCAAAAAAGAAAAAAATGGGGGTCCTAGTTTTTACTTTAAGACCACCAGCAGCCACTTTAGAGGGTCAGTGACAAAAAGATATTTTGAATACATTTCTCACAATGGTACTGTAGCAAGGATCCTGACACGAAATGACCGAGAATACAGTCGCACATGTATGTAAAGGAAACACATACATCTGAGGAAGATGCAGCCGTTCTGATGCTGCACTTTCAACATCATGTGACCAAAACTGACCTGCTGCTTATACAAATACAGGCTTTGACACGGAGCCCGAGGCGGCCTCGGCAACGCTACAAGAAATTATTTGAAATCAGCACTCTTAAAGGTTTCTTTCAGGTTGTTGTGACATCTTTAACAAAATAATTAGTTAATATATAAGACATTCTTTATAAAATTCAAATGAAAATGTTTAGTGATGTTTTAAATATATATTATGTGATGTTTGTTTTACACTGTAGTCACTATATAGTACAAAACTACACTACAAACTGTAGTTTGCTGTACTTCTCTGCATTGATCTGTTACACAGCAGATTCAAGTTTGAGATGGCAACAAGTGATGATCTTATAAAATGAGATAGGAATGTGCTGGCTTCAGGGGAATCAGTTTATCATGGCTGTACTGTAGTTTATAGCAATATTAGCTTCATCTAAAGTAAGTGATATAAATATTTACAGTGTGGAAGTCATTTAAAAAAAAAAAGGTTCCACACACACTGCTCCTCATTATTCTTTTGCGTGAGAGAGGAGGCAACATTCAATAAATTTCGTTTCCTTTAACACCACTTCCTTTTCTTGACATATACAAAGCAGCAGCTGTAATCTGGTACTGGGGAAAGGATTAGCAATGCTACTCTACATACTTTGCTTTATGAAGTAATCTGCCACACGTGTTGTTAACAGTGGCAAACACAAAATCCTTTAATGACATTTTCAAGAATAATATTCGCGTTTTGTCTGCCCATCAGTCCAAATTCCTAAAATGTTCAATTTTATGTCATTTAATATTAAAGAGGAGCAACAAATCCTTAAATGAAGAAGCTGGAACCAAAGAAAGTCTGTCACTTATTTCTTTAAAAGGTATTTCAGAATTACTCAATTATTAAAATAGTTAAAACTTACTGTATAATGGTTTCAGCTCTATTGAATAAACCTTTGGGTAGAATATTATTACACTAAAAGATGTAGTGATTTTCTGGTAGAGGTAAAATATTTATCCATCTTTTTTTTTTAACCACAACACCTGGGGTGATTTTGCATCAGTCACCGCTGAGTCTCTGTATGTTCATCACCCCACAGCCTCCTCTGGCATTCAAATGCTACACTAATCACTTAAAGCTTTACAAACAAAAGGTAGATTAATAATCTCATATCAAGACATACATTAACAGGATGAGAATGCAGTAGATTATAAATAGTAGGGGTTGACTTCTACATAGAAACCACTTTTTAAAGATGCATTTTTAAGAAGCTGCTCGTTTTAATCTGAAAGAAATGTGTTGCAGCATTGCATACATACTTTCCAAATAAACACTTGTGGGATGTGAAGAGAAGAAACTAATTAGATGAACACTCCTCTGTGGTGTGATCTGCTGAGAGTAATATAACTTATAATGTAGTAAGATGAACCGCAATGATTGGAATTTTGATTATAGGGCTTTCAGATTGTATGTAACCTGTTAAGCAGCACTGGAGTTAGTGAGAAACGTGCAAGGGGAAGATGTCTGTTCAGCAAAAGGGAACTTCAACTTTAACTTAACAGAGCTTGTAGAGTACTTCTAGTGTACTTTCAGTTCCTGGGTCTTGGTAGAACCACACCCAAATGTGAACTACATCAACACCCCACCCACGAAAACTGTAACCAACCCTCCTTTCTAATTGGCTGCTACTTCTGTTATCTCTGCCTTGTGCTGAGCTGGACACCAATCACTATGACAACATAAGCTGGCATAATGAAATATTCCGATTCAAAAACTGATCAAGGCTGGGTTGAGAGTGCACTGAGGTTGTCCAGAGCAGGGACATTCCAGGGAGGGCAAGGGAAGTTGACAGGAAGCTGCTCTTTGGCTCGCAACTGTAGTAAAGACATCACGGGATTTCCACGACGTTACTGAGCCATGTCGACCTGACAGTCAGGAGGCCTGTCAGGGGAGCCCTGCAGTCTGCTTTACACTGGCACACTTCATTTCCGGGTATACAACCCTTACTTTAGCGCGATTAGCTCATACACTGGCACCTCGTATTGTTTGGCTTTTCAATGTGCAACTGCGATGAAACAATACAGTCCAACTTACATGTTAACAAGCTATAGCTTACATTACAAGCTGCAGGTTGAATGAATCATATACATCCAGCAGTTTATGAGAAGTAGTCGGTCAGATCTTCTCCTGAATTAAGCTATTGCTTATGATATTCAGGGACAAGACTTCATTAACCGTTAGCTTGATTGAACCTGCGGGGAAACTGGATTTTTACTCGTCAGCCTGTTGAATCCTCCGAACGAACAGGCGCTCAACTTCAGGTAGCTTCAGTTAGTTGCGGAGCTGAAGTAGCTAGCTTTGCTAATGACAGACAGAGCGAGAGTCAACAATCGAGATTCCGGACGTTGTTTATGTATCGATGGAGCTGTGACACGTTTACAGGCTAATCAGTTAGCATCATTTTTGGTCGGCTAGCGTTAGCGGATTTCTCATCCGCTTTACAACCTTTTCTTGTCGGATAAAAGCTGCCGGAAGTGGCGTTCCACATTCAAACGACCGGATAAGTGACCGTGTTCACTGCCTCCGGAGTCGACACAAGACTCAGTGGCCGCAACGACAGATACAGAGCTTGGACTCTTTTTGTTTAAGTCAACTGCTGGTGTCGTGAAGCCCCCCGGGCACAGATAGCAGCTGCAGATAGCGCCCTGCTAACCGCTAGCATTAGCGACTACGCTCGCAGTTTCCATTGAGTGTCGCTCGGCGGCTAAGCTAGCTACTTAGCGCTAGTCCCGCTGATTAGGCCCAGTTAGCTCAAAGCGCAACTGTCAAAGTGCTAACTGCTAAGTGCTAAGTGCGCCGGTGAACAGCTCGTGTGGCGCCTCGATGCTGCGCAGCGAAGCGTTAGATTGTCTCTCACCGTGAGCCCGGTGCCCAGGACGATCACGTCGTATTCTTCATTCATTTTTCCGAGTCTTTTTTCCTTTGCTCCTCAGCAGCGGGGAAAGAAAATGGAGACCAGCGGGACTGAAGACGAGAAGAGGCTTCAACGTCAGGCGCCTCGGGGGCGGGGCTTCTCTGCTGTCAATCACTCTGCGGAGGCGGGGCGAGGCGTCTGATTGACAGCTCGACAGCAAATCAGGTGGTTTACATTGATACTGTTGCTGCCTGTGGAGGAGGGTTGGGTTATAGACTGTGTATAAGGTAAGGGGGTTGGGTTATAGACTGTATATAAAGTTGGGGGGTTGGGTTATAGACTGTATATAA